CATCTCGGTAACGATGTACACATGAAGTGCACACAGGAAATAGATGATTTGCCCAAAAGCCATGCATTATAACTGGAAGGTGAGAGTCATTTTCTTCAGTTATTCCTTATAGTGAGCACTGATCTCATGATATAAACTGTGCAGAGAGATTAAATCCATCCAAAAGTTTTAATGATATGCATTATGCAGCATCAAATAAATAACAGTAAAAGCTTAAATCCACAAATAGATTTCATAAAAAACTAGAACTTCTGGTTTCAGACAGAATATATATTTAGAATATCTGTGTAAGAGGTGAATATATACAATAGATGTATTTTGTTATATTAACTATAGTCACAGTTAGGTTTGGTTTTTCTTTTTTTTTTTTACTTAACTACATAATTGTAGAGGTATAGCAGGAAGACACAGTTCTGACTGTAATTTCTTTCACTGTACTAAGGGAAAATATTACCAAATTATTCTGGCTGCTACAGATACAGGATTTCTGGCACAGCTGAAAATGTGTCAGGAATTAGACTGTATTATTATATTTTTAGTATAAATTTCAGTTTAATGACAAAGCCATTATCAGACTTTGGGTGAGAGAGCTAAGGAACACACGAGATTTCTTCCCAGGAAATGCTGAAAGGCACGTAAAAATTTCAATATATATTTAATATTATGTTAAAAAGCAGATTCTGTGTGTTTCTGTAGGTTACTTGACATTAAAATACAGAATTAGCAGATGTTTGCCTGTTGGCCCTATGGAAAAAATGTTTCATGTATCTGTAAAGAGATCACGCTTATGCATGAACAGACATTTGTTCATTCAAGTGGAACATTTTCCCCCCTCACATACACTGAAACAAAGAGTGTGCAATTATTCTGTTGTTTACTCAGATACCGAGGCACACACATTCACATCAAAAAGTTACTTGCAAACAGGAAAAGGAAAAAAAAAATTAATTTACCTGAAATAATGTACATTTATTGAAAATGAGGAGGACCGTTTCAGTTACTGATTTTACACTAATAAATAGTACTATGTTTAGCCCACTGCTATTCTGCTTACAGTCACTTAATTGTTCTGATTCCTGTTAGGATTTCTAATAATTAGGGTAGATTTCAAAAATATTGCCATGAAAAGCCTAGAAATACATGCAAAAACTCTACCAGTTTATATGTGAAGCAGCAAACATCAGTGTATATCAGACATACAGTACAATTTGACTTGCTGTATAAAATATCATTGTATTGCACATAAAATAACATGGCACATTTCACAAAGCTACAACTTTGCACAATAAGTGACAGACACATTTTTACATCTGCAGAGACATAAGCAATGACTAAGTCACTTCAAAGTGAAGCACAGGACCTAGGGGTTATTGCCTAAACCATTCTAGTATCAGTTGGAAAGAAAGGTGACATGGGCTCCAGTCATGCAAATAAAAATACAAAGAGAGGACATTTTTTTCCAGAAAAAGGTTGGCTTGAAAATTTTCAAATATTTCACTTTGACCGTGAAAGTTCTTTTTGTGGAGCTATGTTCTTTAGAAATGCTGTTTTAAAAAGTTGTCTTGCTCCTGCTCCCATTAAAATGATTGAAGTCCCGCCAACTTGAAAATTATCCTCTTCAACATAGGTTTTTCTCCTCAGAGTCACAATTTATGTAAATATTATATAATTACTATTTGGGATTTTCTTCTTTATCTCCATTTATTGCACTGCTTCTAGCAAACCACTCAGAGATAGCATCAGACTGAAGCTAAAGGACTGGAAACTACATGAATGATACCAGAGGAAAAAAATATTCAGTCATTGCAACTGAACATAGTTTTGGAAATCTGAATAAATCTTCCCCGAAAATGAATTAATGTGATAGAAGTGAAAAATGTGTAATTGAAGTCGTGCGGCTTTGACATATACCACTGATAAATTTCTATTAAAACACCTCAAACTTCTTCCACAGACTTCATCAATAGCATTGTCTATTCTAAGCTGACTGGGCACAAACTTACCCAGGCTTTAAAAATTAGGTGTTTATAAATGTTTCTAGAAGACCATGTCTTTTACTGGACTTGCACACGTATGACTGATCACCTGTGACCAAGTTCAAGCCCAGAAAGTTACCAACGAAATGTACTATTGAGGAAAAGCTTAACTGCTTGAAAGGTCGGGAGTCTGTTTTGTGAGACATCCTTCTGGTATGCTACACTCCCAAAAGGTTTAACATTCAGATTTATTACCTGATAAATAGGGCCATAAATAAAAAGCAAAGAGCAGTAATATCTGAACAGTTTGCCTACAAAATTTCAAGTGAGAGCAACAATAATTTCACTTAAGTCAAGAAAAAAAAAAGAGAATAATACAATAACTTGCTAGTGTACTTGATGTATGTACATCTATTTAGTTATTCCCAATCTAGTTTAAGCTAGAACTGCTATAAGGAGATTTTAAAATTGATTTTAAAATTATTAGAGACCTACAGATGCTGCATAAATCAAGTGACAATGAAAACTACCTTTCACTGGAAAAAAAAAAAGTTCTAGAATTAGAGTTATTCACTGTTAAAAATGGTTTTAGCACCATTCATGTTTCTAAAGCCATTAAAACAGTAAACAGGAAATCTTGTGACATCTTTATAAGCAAAGTTGCAGCATCAGTTAATCTAAAATGCACAGAAACTATTTTTTTCTCCAAGCATTTTCATCCATCTATGGAACAGTTGTCGGTTCACTATTTGGGTAAAAAAGGCCAAGCAAAAAGTGTTTTGGAAAGCTATAACACATCAGTAAAGAGACATTTGGCTATATTTCCACCACATTTCAAAGTGCTTTCAAATGGAGACAAGTCCTTTTCCTTCTCTCCGGTATTAAGGCTTTTTTTTTTTTTTAATAAGTTTAACTAAAAGACACTTGGGGTTTCTTTACCAAATACACTATTCAATTTGCTTTACCATGAATTCTAGGTTTATAAATGTGTACTAACAATATATAGGATTACAGTATTACAAGACCGGGGCCTTAATATTCTAAAATGTAAGCTACTCAGTAGATCTTGACACTATATTTCTTTTATATTCTGTTTCCATTAAAAACACAGGGATTAGAAAACTGGGAAACTAAAACCAAGTTACCAGTACGACATAAAGTAGCCTTGCTATTATTTCTATTAAATCAGAAGCAGTGATCTAGAGTGATCTAGAGAAATGAAATTAAATACTCTTTTCCCACCAAGTTTCCAGACCCTTTCGTTTTTTCCCCTGAATTTATAAGTTTAATTATTCTGACTGAACCAGCCCCTCAGGAGACAAAACTGCTCGCAGTTCCCATCAAAGTCAAAAGGTTCTCCAAGAACTCCACGTTATTCAAGCCATTACTCATTGGACACTTAAACGCTTTCGAGGAACACAAAAATGCAGTTAAAAAGCCACATCTGATTCCTAAACAATCTACAGAAGATCCAAAACGTTAAAAGCCTGACCTTGCAGCCCTTCAAAATCAGAAGATCACACTGCCATTGTTCTTACTGCTCTAGAAGCTGTATTTGTAGAGGTCCCCTCCCCTGCAAAAACACATACGTGCCTGATTCCTGGAAAATTAGCACCCAGATTTGGCACCAGCACAACCTGTATTCAGCTGAACTCCTGAGAAAGCAAGTTCAAAAAGGAAAATGCTAGGTTTACTGCTAATGTAGCTTAAAACATACCTTTGAAGGCAGAAGTCAGCATACTCTGTAATTTTTATTGATAGATTTTTATATGGCGAGATATGACTTTCTTCAATTTGCCTCCCAAATTTAGCCAGTTTTGTGAAATCTGTCACTTAGTGAAATGACTATGAAAAATTTGGAGTATTTTGTTTTTCTTTCTGAAAAGAAAGGCTCCTGCATTGATACCTTTAGGCATAGGAAACACAATTAAACTGTTAACGGGAACAGAACCAAAAGTGTTGTTTGGGATGCGGACCAAAATTACGGATTCAGCTCTTGCCATCTCAAGTTCCTTTGCTGCAATTCCACGACTTTCCGGCTGAACCCAGCAGAGGCAGCTTTATGGGACCAATCCAACTGGAACAAACACCAGATCCTGACAACCCTTTACAACGACATGCCATGCCACGTGAATTTTACAACAAAACACTTCCTTTGAAAAAAAAAAAACACAACACCACACAACAAAATCCCTCAGTGGATCACATTTAAATTAGAATGTGCCATTATTTTTCTTCTCTTAATATGTTGAAACACATGAAACAGGGTTCGAAATGAAAAAAATATATAAATATATCTTTGTTTTAAACCAATCAATCATTTATACAGCACGATGAAACACAACTACACCTGAGGGCATCCATTCTCTTGCCTTTTTTTGAGTTCAAAACCGTAATTTGTCTCCCTATCAGGCCCCTTAACCCCACAGGGCAATTAACACCAGTGGGTCAGCGTCTGGTAAGGCCCCCAGCACCTCGCCGGAGCCGGGCTTTGCTTAATCAGGATTAGACACACAGGATGGCCGGACGGATGCCCCCCTGACACTGCCCTCCCTGTCACCAGCACCTGACCCCGCCGAGGTGACAGCAGGGAGCCTGACCCTCCGGCAGCATTTCCTTGCCCCTGCGGATCCCGGTCCTGGGCTGGTAAGTGCCGCCAACTCCCGCTCCACAGCCCGGCGGGGCGGCTGCGGCTGGGGGCAGCCATCGCTGCAGCGGGAGGCTGAGGTGGAAACACGGCCCGGCCTCCCCCGCCGACCCTGGGCGGTTTCCCCTCGACGTGGGGAGTGAAATAGAAAATATAAATTACCCTTCTGTAAACGGAATTCAGGAAAACGTGTCCCGGCGACCTACAGAGAAGCGGCTGGACGCGAGGCCCTCAGGGCCCTCCCGTGAGGGGACCCTCCCGGCGCCTCAGGGAAGGCGGGACCGGGCCCGATGGCCCCTCAGGTCCCCCGTCCCCTCAGGGAAGGCGGGCCCGGGCCCGATGGCCCCTCAGGACGGGCGGGACCGGGCCCGCGGATCCCCCGTCCCCTCAGGGAAGGCGGGCCCGGGCCCGATGGCCCCTCAGGACGGGCGGGACCGGGCCCGCGGATCCCCCGTCCCCTCAGGGAAGGCGGCCCCGGCCCCCCCGCCGCCGCCCCCCGCCTCAGATGAAGTGGATCCAGGCGGTGCTGTCGGGGTCGTGCAGCGGTCCGGGGGCGGGCGGGCCGCGCTGTCGGCCCCGCAGCCGGTAGTTGGCCCCTTCGTTGTTGTCCCAATACTCGGCGCCGGCAACGCGGTAGCGGACGGCGAACTCCAGCGTGGGCTCGGCGGCACCGGCGGCGGCTCCGAGGGGCAGGAGGAAGGCGAAGCGGTCGGTGAGGCCGTCGGCCGGGCCGGCCGGCTGGTAGGCGGCGGGCACCTCGGCGCAGCTGGCCCAGCGGTTGAGGGTGTAGCGCACCGACACGGCCTTCTCGTAGGCCAGGTTGAGGACGCGGACGGCGCCCCGCAGCCCCGCCGGCTCGGCCCGCACCCACTCCAGCCTCACCTTGTGCTGCCGCACCCGCTCGGCGAAGCCGGGGCTGGCGCCGGGCTGCGGCGGGAAGAGCGGCTCCAGCAGCGGCGGCGGCGGCCCGAAGAGCACCGGCTCCAGTTCCCCCAACGCCGGCGGCTTCCTGGTCTTGAGGAGGTCGGCGGGACGCGGCGGGGCGGGCAGCGGGACTTGCGGCAGGTCGGCTTCGCAGAAGTGGCGGACGGAGGTGAGCTCCAGGCCCAGGGAGTCGGCGAACCGCACCGTTTTGCGGCGAGAGGGGCTCTGCTGCAGCGCCGGGCGCAGGCTGCGGTCGCCGGGGG